TATGTTCGCACGTGTTCATACCGCTGTCAGCTCGACTGACCTACTGCTATATTCTTGTGCTGACGCTAGTTTCAATATTGGAAATGACGACTGCAGCTACTTAGGCCTTGCTGCTGTCATGGTATGACAGTATGACAGCACACTACCATAATGCATTGATTTGCGTTGTTCGCGATTGTTGCCATTGCGACTGTCACTGCTGTTTTCTTTCTGAGAACTGTTAGTCACTAAGTGACTACGATTTGGCTACTGCGGCTATGGACACATACAACGAAGGTGAAATTCATATTAACCCTACTCTGGTTCACTTCCGCGGTGTCGGCGCAGATATTGTCATGCGTATGCTCGATCGTTGACATTGCAGCTGCTACTGCTACTTCTCGCTAATCGTGTTGTCCCATGATCACTGCTGTGTTCGTGCTAAGACTACCTTAAAGCCTTGTGCTTAGTCTCCTCGACTTGATTCTGATAGTGTTATGGCACTTCCGTTGTGCGATTATCGGCAGACTCTGGTGGACGATGATGGTGCCTAACTAATTCCTTGTTGTTAATGCCCATGCTGCTGCTGTCAGAGCTCAGCAACAGTGTGTCATGGATTCCACCAGTATACTCACCTCCAAATCCAATGAAATTGCGCGAGGTTGAATCCCAAACTGCCGCAGCTCCCTGGCGCTGCATAAAACTGCCAGCTGCCTCCAATAGCGTCCATCCAGCCTGTGTTGAGAAACTCCACAAATCGTTGTACGTCTTGTCTGTAGTGCTAGCAAACGGAATCGACATCTGGACTGTTCCACGCCCGCAGCACATCAGCATCAGGCTCGATACCGAGTCCCATACTGCAACATGCGCGTAGCGCGAAATTGGCTTCAGCCCTAGTACAGTGGGAGAGCTCCAGGCGTCGATGTCTGGATCATACACTTCCACATCATCGTAAATATCGAAAGTCGTTGTCCAAACATCAGATATGCCGCCAAACACGATCATACGATGTGAATTACTGTCCCACACTGCCGAGTGTGTCGAGCGTGGATTGCTGCTGCCAGCCAGCTCCGTCCAAGTGTCCGTAGCTAAATTGTAGCCAAATAAATCAGCGAAGGTCGACTGTGCATCATTTTGGTTTATGCTCGCATTCTGTCCTCCAAAAACGTACATCACCTGGAGTCTGACAGAGCATATCGTCTCTGCAAGGAAGCGAGATCCACAAAAAGCAATCTCAAAGATTTACTTCAGAAACCCCAGCACCAAAAGAGTGATTTGCGTGTACTCCAGGAGCTCTAAGGCCCAAAAACCCTCAACCATACTTTCCTGAACCATCCGAAACCTGACATGAGAAACCAGTCACCCTATCCACCGGATCCAAAACGGCTGTGTGGAGCTGGCGCTCTACTGGCGCCCCATCTTTGGACTTGATGCTCCAGACGTTCCTCCGGGACTTACAACTGCGCTGGAGATATTGCAGTCTACCCACAGGCCCCAGTGTAGTTCCTTTTTGGGGTTGCTTAATAGGATCCTAAATATAAGCCACAAAAAGGAACTACTAATGCTACTAATGTGGCCTATGGGTATATTGACACTAGCTATTCACGGAATCGGAAAAATGTTGTTCGACAAGGACCAGGGCTCAAGGTGACGCTGTAGAAGTACCTTGAAACTGCGAGTCATTACTGTAGAGTGTGAGGAGTCAGGGACTTGGTTCTTCAGTTTTCAGTCGTTGAAGGCTAAGCCCGTGCGAAACAAGAAAGAAGATGCATGCGAAGCTTTTTGCCCAAAGCCATGTGTTATAAAAGCTACCAACTATGGCATTTGCACCTACTTGGAACCCAAACCCTGTTGAGACAGAGTCGAACCTGGCCTTCCCTCCCAGACTTCCTCAGGCGCAGCCCAGGCGATTTCAATTCAAAATGGGCCGGACAGCGAAATCATGGACGACCCAGCGCGGCTCTCCAGGATCCACTTTCCCCCAGGCTGAGTCTTTCGGAACCCATGCAAGAACCCGGCAGCCTGAAGCTCAGAGGCTCCCGTGGCGTGCCTCTTGACCCTCTGGAACCTGAAAACTCTTTGATCAAGTGCCCTCCGCTCGCAACGGTCAACTGCTACTACTTGCACTGCAGCTCCTCCTAAATCCTGAGTAACTGTGTTTGAAGCGCCTTCTGTGCCTAGGAGGTTAGCACTGTGGTGACAACGACCCACCGCGATGACGACGGCCATGACGACACACAATGCAAGTGCGGGAGCAAAGTCAAAGTTACGCTCTCACTTGCTGCTGGCACTAGCAAGAAGGGGTCGGACCATAGGAAGCCTCGCTTGGCCAGTAGAGGAATTCATGCATGTGATTGACATTGCAGTACTATAGTTGCTGTAGCTTTTCCGGCCCAGGACTGGTTGAACTTCTGCAACTCAATCTGAACTCAACCTGGAGCACGACAAACTCTCGGACCTTTGAGGCAACATGCTCAAGCTAGGTGCCATACTACGCCCCGACCCATAAACTCAACAGAAACATAGCCCTGAACCTGAAACCCGACCGAGGTGCAGATCATTTCGGAAGCCCCAGTACACCGGGTCTCCAATAGGTCCTTGCCCTAGGCCTCCAAACAAGTACCTCGGAGCCCGCATGCCGTACGCGCGGAAGGAGGCTCATGCTCTTCGGAATTACGGTGCAGATGACAGGCACTACCAGCAGTGACATGGGATACCGAAAATGAGGAGACCATGCCAATAGTGTCAACAATACAAGCAAGTTCCAAGATGCTGCTCTGTTTTCAGTTTGGGTTTAGGGTTTGGGGTTTAGGGCTTAGGGGCTTGATGACCTGATTTGGTAAGACTTCTTTTCATGTGTCCTGGGTTTCCTCCATGCCCTGACAAGCGATGCCCCACTTGCAAACTGTGCTGGCCCTAAGCCTTAAACACCTGGGTAGTTGTCAAAATTAGGGTCCCTTTTCGGGTACCCTAAATAATAGGTGCTGTATTATAATAAGGACCCAAAAGGGGACCATAATTTTGACAACCACCCACCTGAACGCAGAAAAGGGCCTGGCTCCGGGTCATCATATTTCGGAATTGCAAGGCGAGCCCCAAGTATAAACCGGATTCCGAAGCCCTGAACCACCAGCATGTAATCCCTAACCCTTAACCCGCTACCTTGTGATACTTGCAGAACACGGCTTACCTTCGGAACTCAGGAGCCGTACTGAATCGCAACATGTCAAGGCCAAAACGGGATTAGAGTTTGAGGCTGGTCACCTAAATACGCGCCCAGTCACATTCCTTTCTCCACAGTGTCCCAAACTGCTGTCATCCTGGCTGGTAGACGGAGCTTTGTGCGACTTGGGCGCTGTTTGTTCCACATCAATGGGATAATGTGTTAATCGACCAACATCCAGGAATTACAACTGCCCTGGCTTTTTCTGTGATCACAAGGCATCAAGCCCTGTGCGGCGTCGTAAGAGCACTAAGACTCTCAGGCTCGACTCCGAGCCTCCATTTTGCCCCTCAGCCTCTAGGACTCTAGGACCTGAGCCTCAACCGCCAAAGCGCGACTTCGTGGAAGCCGGAGCAACTTCCTCTGACTGACGCCCTTCTTGATACAGACTGGGTTGGTTTAGGAAGTTTAGGGTCAACCTAGAACGAGAAGGATTCAACATCAGTTTTGAAACATCATAACATCGGGTAGTGATTCTTGAGGCTGCTGCAGTCGTACAATCCTTAGAAGATGAGCATCGAGCCCTCACATTCTACCCCTCAGAGTCCTGCTCATTCGTCTCGGACCACCTGAAGGCGGTGTAAGCTCCAACCAGTCTCCGGAGACCATCGAGCATACCAGGAGCTGCAGCCAGCAAAGCCACAACGCCATGCGAGGTCCGCGAGATCGCTTTGAATCTGGGGCTCCAGGGCCTTTAAAGGGACTCTAGGGATATTGCTGCAGGCCTGTTGGTGGTGCGCTTTGCGGTGTTTACTGCGGAGTCGCAGGATGTTTTCTGCTGGGCCAAGAAGTGGTTCCTGTTTGGCTTTGGCTCTTTCACAATTATGGATGCGATTAACTAGCGAAGCTCGGCGCACAGAGAAAGGCCAAACAGGTGCTTCAGATCGGATGCAGACTACTTCGTTGATAGTCGTACGAGTGTATACGTGACGATTATCGTCGAAAAGCTCCACCGGTTGGTGGAGCTCCTCGTTTCCACTGTAGACTGCCTTAGCCCCAAGGAGGGTCGAGTCTTGAGCCCGGAAAACTTAGAGGCACGAGCTTCAGGGATGCAAAAGACTTGCTATTCTCAGATTGCTGGGGCTTCTGTGGATTGGGTCGGTCTGGCTGCCTCGCCGACTCTCTGCGCTCAACACAAGGCCAAGGGAGTGTGAGCTGCAGGGAACTGCTCGGAGGAAGACACTCATGCCCAAACTCCTCTCTCTCGCCATGTGCTAGCATGTCCTAAAACCTCGGCGTTGAGATCCCAGAGCCTGCTAAGCAGCAGGTCCTGGAGTTGTGAAATCCGGCCGACCGAATGTCGCGAGTTCTAAACCAGCGGAGAGATACCATGCCTGTGGAACAAAAGCGAGTTCTAGGCTCGCACGCAGCGACTTTAAGAGCTCTATATACTTCAACAAACGATCCTGTAATCAATGGAGCTTTGAGTTTCAAGGTGCTGTAAGACGACCTACTCCAGGCCTGTTTAGTTGGATGGGGTCCCTAGATTTGGAGCCTTTGGGTAAACTCGGATTGTATATGGGTTTAGGATCTAGGGCTCTTTGCGAGCCGCATTCGATGCTTACAGTTTCGGGTTTCGGCTGTAGGGTGAAAGGTGCATAGGCTTGTCGTGTGGGTTAGGCTGATAAGCCTCCGAGGGTGCTGTATGGCATAGGATGTTGAGTACAGGGCGGCATTTCTTTTGAAGGCGGAGATTGTGGCTCAAGCCTAGTCCTCTGTAGCTCAGCTTTATACCTTTAGCGCGACATTGTGCAACTTGGGTATAGGTATCGCAACTCCGCAGCTGCATCCGGGAAGCTCCCGTGCGACGAACGCATCAGCCCCTCCTCGAGAGAGGCATACCTGCAACTGTGTGGATTCGGAAATGAATTCGGGATTTGGGCCAGGGTTTAGGGGATTCCGTAAAGCACTGTGTGTAATGGTGCGCTCTGTAAGCCCTGCTCAGGTCGAGCATAAATACAGTCAGGTCTGGCGCGTATCGTTCCAACGTCTAGCCCGACACCATCCACCGCGAACCAAAAACCAGAACCAAATCCCCGAACCCTGAACCCTAAATCCTGAAGGAACCTGCACCCAGTGCATGCAGGCTTGAAGTGGCGCAGGCTGGGAGTGGATCAGAGTATATCAGAACTATCTGTGTTGCAGAAAAGCCAAAAGGTGACTAGAAGGCCCCTCCTTGCAGGAAAGCAACCATGGCGCGTGTCACAGTCCACGAGTCTTGCCCGTCCTGACGCTCAGATAAAGGCCCAATGGAAAAAAGCAAATCCTACGTTCGAGCGCTTGCGTGGCTTTTCCGTACAATTCGGACAACGCCCCCCCTAAAACCCTAAACCCTAAACCCTAAACCCTTGGAACCTCAGCGCGAGGTTTCGGCTGGCTGAAACCCGAGACCCCTCACAGCGGAATCAGACTTTTGTGATGTGTGTGCTTGTCAAGCCTTCCAGTCCCGTAGCTAGACCCGACTTGCTCCTAAGAGGCTCTGGAAGTGCTTTCCGGGAGCTCTTCCAATGTCTGAGTGCTGAGGCTGCAGGGCTTGAAATTTCAAGGACGCCTAAGGTTTAGGGCCACGCCTTAGTCGAAATGCCCCCGCACAGCGTGCTACTAAAACTATGCGTGCCGACTCAGCTAAAGGTAAATAGTTGAGGTGGAGTTCACACATATGCGTTCTGCCTCAACCATTTCGTGAACCTCGCCGTGGAATGCATCAATTTTAGCATGGATGTGAAAGCAGAAAGGCTAGGGAAGCCTCTGAATAAATAAAAGATGATGCGGATTTGGAGACCTATCGCTGTGGACTCCTTTTGTTGAGCAGTTGAACTAGGGTGGTAACTAAGGTATTGGGACTCCGGATGCATTCGTGCATCCTCCAGCAGTGCGTCGTAGCCTCGCCAGACGAAGTTCTGCTCTTCTTGCTTTCCGAGCACTTCCAGATCCAGCACCACCTGAGCTCTAATGGATCGAAACACCGGCAAGCGCAAAGGATCTCGGATTCTTTCCCTCCAATCCAGCAGGGATGGAGTGTAACAAATCCTGAGTCACCCCAGGGGCGCCTCCCAGCGCGGTGCATCACTGAGAAAGCTCCTCAGCTGCGCTACAGTCTCTCAGCCGCAAATCTTTGGTTAAGGATTGAAGTTCTCCTTCAAGGCTTAAACCCTGAATAAACACTAAACTAAACCAACAACGAAGACCCTGGAACCCAAAGTTTGTCACCTTCTCATCGTCAAAATTGAAACAAGGCATGCAATGTAAATAGTCTTCTCCAAACATGCAGGTGCCCCCGCATCCAGGAATTCGTACACAAAGCGATCCAACGGAATCGAAGTAACCAGAAGAATTGCCCCAAGCCCCAACACACACGGTACACTCTTGCCGTCACTGCAGGCGCAGGCAATGCAGGTGTCTAGTGAATCCTGCCCAAATTCCTCAACCAACTTCAAGCTCAGCCTCTCCAGAGTTGTACGCCTCCAAACCCCACGCGGATGCTGCCCATCAGACCTGAAGAGGGTTAAGCTGGTGACGGCCAACTGAAACAAGGGGCGATGAAGTACTGACTCGGAATGAGCATCAAGTTGAAAAGGCATAGAGTTAAGGGCGTGGGTTTAGGTACTGATGGCTCTGGGCAGCCTTGGCCAGGACCGGAGTTTCCAGACTGTTCTCTAAAGCCTGGCTTCGGGCTTCGGGCTTGGGGCTCCGGGTAGGATTTGGCGGCCTTGCCGTCGGTAGGAGGCCAGTGGCATGAACTTCGCAACCCCAAGTCGACAGCCCCACGAAATTTGGTAATTTTCCGACGGAGGAATCGACGGAATTTTGACACCGGGAAATTTAGACGTGCTGGAAAGAAAGCAATGAGAATAGGAAGAATAGGTCGACTATGGTGCTGAAGTTTCGAAAATATGGGGGCAGGGCTCTTGGTTCAGGTGTTGGGAGGCTCGCTGAACCGGCAGGTTCGGTCGGGATTCTCAGGGTTCAGAATCATGAATCCGGCACCCCAGGCCAAAAGCTGAAGTTCAAAGGGTGGCTGTGAGAAAGGACCTTTGCTAGAGGGGAAGCTTCTACTCAGATCAACATCTGATGTAGTGGCCAGCAACTATAGAGACTGAAGACCTTCACTTAAGCACAGGCGCCAAAAGTCGTAGAAAAGACCGCCGAGCTCAGTAACTTGAGGCAGCTTTCCTCAGGCCCACAGCCCACTGGCGTGAGAGGATCAAGTTCCTGGCTCCTCGACGGCCTATGCTTAAGAAAGGACCTGTTGTGCCACTTCCTGCCCTGATGATGGAAATACAGAAGGAAGTTACCCATCACAAACACTGGCACCCTCCTAAAGGTCGAGGCCAAGCCGTCTCTGCAAGTCATGAGCATCATAGCTTTTTAGTGTTTAGGGTTTAGGGTTTGATATGGCATGGGTTCGATGGATAGCACGATGCTGATCGATCTATATCTTGTCATCCTTTCAGCTGCTGGGTGGAAAGGATGTTGCATCTTGTCGTATAACGAGCAAACGCTGCTGCATCACCGCCGAACAGAATGCAACACGAGACTCTTTTTTCGAACTACTCCAACTAACGGTTGGGTTTGGGGCTTACCGACGGGGTTGGGATTGTTGAATTAATGGCTATTCATGGGGGACCTCACGCAATCTGACTTCCTGCATCGGGTGTCGTAGTGGATCACCGTCCGTGTCGGTCGTTTCCTCATCAGGTATCGGATGTAGGTTACCTATGATTAAAGTCAGCCAGAGGCCGTGATAAATCTCGACCTTGCAGGGCTCAGAATCTACATCGTCAGGGACCGGGGTCCACTGGTTGCCTGTGCTCTTCCAAGGTGGACACTCGCGGGTGGCACGGGCTTGTTCCATTTTGGATGTGCCCAAATTCACTGTGATCCCAAAGCGAGTTAGAAGAACATGACGACGAACGGTTTTTGTTCAACTTCTACACACGACGAAAGGGAATGTTACTGCAAGGGGACCCAGACCTAGCATGTCAGGCTTTGGATCTCAGACCAGAGCTCCAGCCTCGTTCCATTTAAGCGGGTTTCAATGGATGAGCATCACGACCCGGGGCACAAGTAGTATGAGTTTCAGGGGGTTCATATTCTTGGCAACATGCATAACACAAATGTTCGAAAACAGTCTGCCGCAACTCCTTGTGGCAGAGATGGGAAGAGCTCTGTTGGTTTATCCAGATCGAAGCCGCGATCCACGGGCTCTCGTTTTGACTCGAAACCCACAAGCTTTCACATAAAGGCGAAGCATGCACGAAGATGACCCAAACCCTGCAATCCTGTTCGGAACACCATGTACTGCTGTGTTGCTCTTGCGATTTGGTTTATGCGTACTCAATTGCACGGATATTTCTATCAGTGTGACAATTGTCTGACTGTGGTTGTTTGTCGTGATACGACATGAGGCAACGTTAATGTCCTGACAAACTAGAATCAACATGGCAAGTTATGTCTGCAGTTCATGCGGCAGTTTCCAGCAGCCGCCCGAAGAGAGGAGAACCCCTTGCACCGGCAAAAGTGATGGCCGTTCTAGTCCAAAGTAAGTGTAGTAGTGACTTGCTTGCATGACTCCGGCAGTGAAGCCGCGACATATACCTAACTTATGAACTTTGGGGTTTAAAGCATCCGCGGCACCGCCGCCTACTCGTTTTGAAAATCAACTCCTTCGGGAAACCACTGTCGTTGAGAACAGAAGTGTCAACTAGCACAATAAGTCCTTCGACCCATGCTAGGGGTCAGTAGGTTCTCGTGGGTTGGGTCAGTAAGACTTCTGCGTATGCATCACACTTGCTGAGCACTGATCATGATGATGATGATGGTAGGTGTATGGTGCGAATGACCATGATGCTCCTGCCGCAAAAGATGAATTTGTGCAAGCTGTAATGCTGCAGCGAAAAGAAGCAACACCACATGCACCACATGAACATGGAGCAATTAACATGGATGGGTGAGGTCAGAAATCACCCCACAAAAGTTTGATAGGCCATTCAGAAAGTCTTTCTGATTGTCCTACTGCTGCCCATAGCCCAACTGCTGGTTCGCCATCCCACAACCATTTCCTGCCCGTTGGAAGTCTTACACCATGCATGGTGTGGCATTGACCATTTCTCCCTGTCTGAGTGCACGATATCAGGGTAGCATATGAATGTATGGCGACATTTGCCGGAGGTGTAAACCTGAACACGACTGGAAGACCAGTACAACCTGCAAATATGTAAACCGATAGGACCTCTATCGACAGGAAGTGACAGTGACAGATGAAACCGGGTACCGGATCCCCGAACGGCCAGAGGCATCATCCCAACCGTAAAGTGCAGGCTAGGGTGTAAGCCGGAAGTCTTGACATCTAGACCCGACTCCGAATTGCCGAATCTCAACAGGCGAAGTAGACAGAGCAACCAGAAACACTGTTCCTTCTCATCCGTGTTCCAGCATCGGGTAGTATAAATGACTTGATGACCTTGCATACTCTGGGCCGCAGTCAAATTCTGCAAGACCTGTACAATTACACAGAACACTGTCAATCCTTGCATCCCCTAACTCGGCCCTGCCGAAAATAAAAGGTGCCTTGAAGACTAGAGTAGAATGGAGTAGACTGATATTCAGGAACACGCCCCAAAAATACCACAAAGAATGCTGCAGGCCCAAATTTTTGCCCGAAACCCTAACCCCTAACCCCGAACCCCCCCCCCCCCAACAACCCGCTCCTGGGGTCGCCAAGGGCGGCCAGCGTGCGAGCGTTCTGAGCGGCCACGAAAGCTCTGGCGCGGGGCGAATCCAACCTGCAAGCTTCAGCCTTTCTAAGGTTGCCATAAACGCTCCTAGAGGGGTAAGGATAATATGGGGGGCGACTCTGAGGCTATAAATGTTTCTATGCCGCGACAGGTTACTTCTAGAAGGATAGCCTGAAGCCACCATGGAGGTTTTCTTTGAAACGTGACTACAGGGGTTACGATAAAGGTTGCTATTATGGGCGGTAGTGGCAGTGGGTAGCGATATCGATAGTATACGGGTTACTTTCAGGGCTGCGATAACAATGTTTCAAAGGGTAATCGAATAGGGTTACGAAGCGCTTCCCGGCGTTTTGCCTGAAAGACTGTGACTTCAGGGACCTGTGTTCAGGTTTTAGATTTTCGGATAGAAGGGCTTAGTCTTACAGAATTAGGCTTCAGGGCGTGGGCATTGGAAATCAACCACCAAGACCTGAAAGTTGGGGAATTCTAGAAAGACTTTGGAGATCCGAGATGACTGATGTCCGCTAGCTTGTGTTCGATGATGTGGCTTTGGGAAGAGGAAGCTTACGTCGCAGAAAGCTACACAGTTCAAAGTGTCTGGTGCCAAGTTGGGGTACGTGCTGCAACCTTGGACATGTCGTCGGGGCTTCTATGTAGCTATGCAGACTGTCTTAACAACTAGTAGCTACTACGAACACTTGGACTTCTTATTGGGTCGGCATCCCTGAACTTGAACCCCACCTGCCAGCCTAGGCAAACCCTTTCGTAAAGCAGGGCCTAGGCACCCAGCCGCTTTTGACCCTGAACCCTCAACAGAAACTACCGCAGTATCCAGGCACGAGGAACAGGAAGGCAAAAGATGGGGGATGAGGACTCAGGAAATCGGTGCGGGATTCAGAGCGTAGGCTGTGTAGGGTTTCGATCTCATGGTTGCTGGGCTCTGAGGTATGGACTGCATGCGAGGTCCACGCTAGGCACTTGCTAAGTGTAATTTGGATCCTGAGTTCTGAATTCTCCATACACCCTGAGCTCGGTGCAGCCATCCAGCAACAAATATCTTGCATAATCTATGGAACAACTGCAGTGCATGTAGAAGTGTTATAGCATGTGGTTCGGACAGGCCCGGATGGTATACTGTGACTAGTAGCTGTTGATTTGACCGACGGCATCTACATATGCTACAAGTAGTGAATCGGATGGGGCCAAGGCACTCCTCTAACCAATGCAGCGGATCCGCGCCCACAGCCGCGGCCTGCAGAGTCATCGACGGAAGAAGTGAAAACCGAAAATCCCTAAACCCTAAACCCCTAAACCCTAAACCCTAAACCCTAAACTGTCGGAATCTTTCGACAGAGGGGCCTTGCAGCCGAGGCACCCGAGGGAGGTGGACAGTTTTTTTCCGAGAAGGAAGTCACCAAGAGTGCGTGCCTAGTAGCTCCTTATGCTTGGGGTTGTTCTCCACATCCACAGCAAGTCGAAACATCGAACCTTAGGCCTCTGCAACAGCCAAGGAATCCGGAATCTTCAAGATAAGACCCATCTGCGGCTTTAACAAACCCCGAAAAGCTCAAGCCCACGCATCGGATGCGAATAGGTGAGCCAACCCTGGAACAGGCAAAGAGCCGTCTGTACACTGGCAACAGGTTCCCTCAACCCGACTCGAAACTGGACTCGGCCTCCCAAGCCGTGAACCACCAAAACCCTAAAGCCCCAAACCCCCAAAGCGCTAAACTTAAACCCTAAACCCCGAAACCCCCACAACCCTAAAGCCCCAAAACCCCCAAACACCTAAACCCCGAAACTCCCGAAACCCTAAACCCCTTAACCCTGAACCCTTAACCCTTATAGACCCCTTATAGAACCCTAAAGGAACCCTAAGGCCCCAAGAGGGATCTTCGTCTGAGGCCCCTGGCCTGGGCGCGACGACGAAGTCGACTCGGCCAGGGTCTTTGCCGCCAGCAAAGAGCCCAGGCCTCGACGAATTTTCTTAGATTCTAGAGTAGTATATTATGGGATTAGGGTAGTTTAGAGTTTATGTTGATTATAGAGTATTATATTATGGGACCCTTAGGGACCAAATGACCTAATAATAATAAGGTACTTTGGTTGCGGATAATAGTTATCTAGCTTATTAGTGGGGAGAGTATATGAGTGTTATAGGTACTTGGGCCCTTAGGGTTATATGATACAGTATTATATATTATGGGATTAGGGTTTAGGGTTTATGTTGAATTATATTATAATATATTATATTGCATTATGATCTATCTTATTAGATTCGATCTTACTTCTACAGGAACGAAGTGCGCTTTACTTTGCCTGGCTGGCGAAGGAAGTTATACGCTGCTTTCAACCTATACATACATGTACTATTTGCTGTTGGGACTTGGGACGGAGGACTGCGTACACAGCAGCAACAAGCACGCTGACAACGACCGCCTTGCCCCCAAACTGGGTTTTGCTGCGTCAACAAGGACCTGACCTTGAGTCTACTTGGAGGTTCATGGGTAGTTATAAGTGGGGTTATAAGTCCCCTAATATGGGTTATAAGTATAGTTACCCTACTTATAACCCTATTTATAATTACCCATGAACCTTCAAGTATTGCTCTGCATGTCTACAGACATGCCTCTCCGTAAACCATACCATGGCAAGCCGTGCAGTCCTTCCTCTGTCGACACGCGAAGGCAAATGAGGTCTGTACTTGTGGACGAGGACAACACATGACATAACATAAGGCATTAAGGCAGTAACACAACATGATGTAAAATGACAGGTATAAACGAACTCCAGCTACCCATACATGTGGGCATCAACTTACATATACATGCACTCAAACCACCGCCTTTGCTGCGGCGCCCAGGGGAAGCGCCCAAAGAGATCTTGACTTTGCTCTGGAAGGCGGTCCACAGGGTTTGCGATGCCTTTGGACAGGCCCAACAGCGGCAATTCAGGGGGTGGTCACCGTCCTTGCAAATATGTAGGGTTCAGATGCACCACACGGGGTCGATAGGAAGAAGCTCCAGCTATGGACAGGTTTGTGCAAGAGTCAACCGCCGCTTCGGACGAGGGTTTGGATTTCCTGCTTGCGGTTTCAGGGACCTTCATGCCATGTATGGTTGCCACTGCTTGTGGGGCCTTACGGGTTGGGTTGAGTCTTAATAACTTGCTCTATGCACTTTGACCCATCTGGAAACTGGAGACTCTCGCAGCTGGCACACCTTAACAGTACCAACAGGCCAAACACACTACTCTAGCCTTTCGGTACCCCGGAGAACGATCTTTGCGCAGAACCCGGAAGACCGAAAACTCGGCTTTAGCCTGCTGAGAGCCATATGGCCAATTCCTGCAACGAGCATGGTGAGTTCGAAACATGCCAGAATTTTCATTGGCGGTGTGAAGGCTGCCATAGGGCTCAAATGTCACGATCAGGAAACTACGTACTGACTGTGGTCGCGTTGAGCTGCATACAAGCTGACCTGGCAGCAGTCCATGAAACCCAACCGGATACGGGGCCTTGGCGTTTCCATGCTAGACCAGCAACATTTCCGGCAATCATGACAACACCCCGCAAAAAATGCAACAATCACGGACTTGCGCTTGTCTTTAGTTCGAACACGGGTCAGCATCCCGGCCAGGTATAGAGTTCCTCGATGGGCTTTTAGCAGCCTGCCTGAAGCCCAAAGACTTAGAAGCTCTCGCGCCACGATCGGCAAACGTCCGCGGCAGCAAGGCGTGGAATGACTCCATGCTGAAAGCAGAGGGCTTCTCAGAGGGTTAAAAAAATCGAAACGCCTTACAATCTTACAAGCTGACATAGCATGGTCTGTTCGGCCAATACATCAACAATTAACCTATGAATCCCTCGAGCCCTCGGGTTAAGGATAAGGGCATAGTAGAGACCGCTATGCGCTTCATATCTTGAAGCTTGGAGTTGAGAGCCTTGAAAAGCGCACGGCAGAAAGCTACTTGGCTTGAGAGTTGATGCGATGCTTGGCCGCGCACCTTATGCCCTCAAACTGGGCACTAAGCCACCAGACAAAGTCACCAATAAATACACAACAGTAACAAAACAGCCGAAACAGCATCTACGGCTTTGGAGGCCAACGGCTTTTCGGGCTTTTGGTTCAGGCTCCAAGTGAGCCCAATCGAATTGCTAGGCTCAGCAGGGGCCTCAAGTTGTGAGGGAGTCGGGCTTAAGGCTTCGGGGTGGCAGACCGTCAGCTCCCCGCATCTTTGCATTTGCAACTACAGTAGTAGCACTCTTCAGCAGGGTTTAGGACTCAATGCTTACAGTCAATCCGTGACCTGGACCATGGTGCAAGCAGCCTGACAAGCCTTCGCTTTCCAGGTGTTCGATGTGCAGGCTGCAACTGAATATCAAGCCGAACACCGCTGGTCTCTTTTCCCTCGGATGCCATGGGAGGCTTCTGCGTGCTGGAACCGTATGAAACTCCACCTGCCCTTGTCTTCGGGCGACGCGATTGCAGGCGGAACGGGAAACTTCACTTGAAGATTCCCAGCATTTGTACCAGTAGCACAGATATAATGCCGAATACTACGCTGCACCGAAGCTTCCCTAAACTCGTGAGCTGTTTGCTGGAGCTGAACTACCGAAGCTTATAACTTATTCGTACGAGAAAGACAGCCTCTTCTGGGCCGGACCTGGTGCATTTTGTGCAGCCGCGGACCGACTCTTGAAATGTTGCCGTGGGGCAGGGCAGCCTGAACCACACTACAGCAAGCCCCAGTCAAGGCACTTAGCCGACATCCCTGAAAACCCCCCTTACTCTGAACTCTCGCGCCCCGGACCTGAATCCCCTAAGCCCTCAACTTCTGTAAACCCATACTCCATCCACAGAGCCAGCCCTCAAACAACGCCTTTCTCGTGCGATCCAAAACTGGGGATTCGAAGTCTCTTTAGGTTTATACTACTCTGAAGGGTTATGGTAAGCATGGTTTATCGACTCAAGCTTTTAAAGCCTTTTGTAGGCATTGTGCAAACTCGACTGAATGACTGCATAGCGACCTTATTGGGAGTATACAAGCCACATAAAATCGCTGAAATTCCTGAGGTTCCCTGCCAGATGTAAGCTGTCAAAAGCGGTGACACAGGCCTTAAGCCTTCGGGCCATTGATTCTTTGGGCCCTTTTCTTGGGTCTGCCTCCTGGATATCAGAGTGAAAATGGAGTCTTCCGCCCTTGGTACTGGGAGTCAAGCATCTAATGTAGGGGCCTCAACAATCACCAGTACTATTTTGGGTGGTCCTTATCATAAGTATGGTATAATGGCCCCCGAAAGCTTATTCTAACTACCAAGGCCCCCATATTATCATAAAGCCATCTGACCTGCTACACTCGAGTTGATGTGATGTAGGAACTTTTCAGCTAGCATCACCGACCAGGAAATCGACGATAGAGTCACCACAAGGCAAAATGACTACTTGCAACCTGAAAAGGGTCATAATGATCGCGGTACTCCATATTCCGACCCTGATCCCAAATAGCACATCGATCGAAGCTGCAAGCTCCCAAACTTTAAAACTGCCGGTCCCTTGCGAGGGCTCGAGGGTTTAACATCTCCAGCTGCTTTGGGCTCCAGTGCTGATGACTTGAAAGCCATAAAGCCCCAAAGCTCCTAGGGGCAAATTTCCAGAGAGAGAGAGAGAGATGTATGGGGTTCCATGAACTTAGTGAGGCGTGTCTACAAGGCTTTCTTTCATAATGAGAGATTTTACCGGTCTTGCTAGACCAAGCTAGACCAAGTTGCTGTAAACAGCTGCAGCAACACGATGCTGTGCGCAGCCTTGCAGAACGGACCCGACAAAGGAAGCAGAAGACCGAACTCAATTAAACCCCTAAAGCCTAACAATGATACTGCTACACTCTGCACCCTAAAACCAACAGCCAATCCGCATCCTGCATCTTGGAGGCTTTAAGGTTTCAGACACCTGCACCGCCTCCCCTGATAAGGATTTCGGGTTGAGGCTTGTGGGCGTCGGGATCGTCTATTAGGGGTCTTCGGCAGCGGGTTTGGGGCTTTGTCATGGCTTAGGGCCCTTGTGATGAAAACCTGCTATACTAGTAAACGGAGTCTCAGAACAACACCCTCATGAACTCTACCTTTGAAGCCCCGCATAAAGTACCCTCAAAACTCTAATCCCCACTTGGGATGTAGACCGTCAGACTCTCAAAATGGCTCAGGGGCTGGGCCCTGGCAGGTGCCGTATCAGTCCAAGAGATCCTGCGACACCGGAATGATCC